CTTACTGACTGCCAGAAGGCAGCCTGTGAATATCACGCGATTATTACACAGAAGCAGAATGCTCTCAACATAAATACTCATTTCTCCGAAAGATTGACTGCAAGCTTGCCCATTCATTTCTTTGGGAATGCAACAAGACAGCATACTGTTTTGTCAGGTAGTTGTAGTCAGGAATTCACACAGACCGTCACAAGGTGAAGGCATAAGCGTGCAGCAACATAAAAACCGAAAGCCGGTTTTAGCTGCAAAAAGCGATGGCCAGACCTCAGGTTATCACCCACTTGCTTCGATTAAGCAAGAGCTTTTTTGTCCTCTTTAGTGAAACCGACTGATTTTTTCCTTAGTTTCCATTAATGGAATGCGCGGAGTTCCATCAGCAAAACTCATCAAAATTCAATCATTTCAAATAGAAATGAAACTGTCTTAAAAGGAAGAACTGGGAATCCGCAAAAGCCCTTAAGGAATGCACCTCAGTGTGCAGAGTTTTGACATAAATGCTAGATTTCTGACCTACTCCTCCTTCATCGCGCACGATTAGACTTATTTAGATTTCGACGTACGAGAGCCTATGGGCGCTGATGCGTTTTGAATAAGAAATCCGGCTATTCCTATTCCTTTCTCATCTGTTTATCGTCACTACAGATGAAGTTAATCCCCTAGGAATGTCCTGACTCAACTGCTTTTGTGACAATGAGCGTACTTCTTGCTGATCTGGATGATGCACATATTATTGGTTGCTGTAGGCAATGCCGTGGACTGTAGTTTCCCTCAGCACATCAAGGAAGCAGAACCGACTTCCAGTAGCTTGCATGGACATTTAGAAGTTGGAGATGCTTGCATTTTACAAGACCCTGCAATTCTGCAAGTCACAAATTTTGATGACGGCAAACATGCTTTCAACATATATTGGTTTGATGTTCGGCAAATACGACTCGCAGACCATTCATTGAAGACTGTTCAGGCAAGCTTCAGCTCTTATAGCAGTCTAAATAAATTATGGCCAGCAGAAAGCGCGACTTCTCAAGTCTGGTGGTGGACAGAAAGGAAGACTCCTATATGTTAATGCAAACTTAGTGTGACCCATTAACTCGTCTCCTAGTCTTCTTCCGCCTTCTCGGGAATACTTAACGTCCCCAGTGCACCGTTGGTGCTTACTTTTGGTGAAGACAAAGGAGATATGAATGACCACTTCTTACTTCCTACTTATGTCATATCAACTTTTTTACCTCCGAGCGGTGCTGCATCGTATTCTCGGCAAACACGAGGGACACTGGACGAGACAGTGCTGGCTATGCCATAACAGCCAATATGTCTTACCTCTGGATGGTGTTGCAACGTATTTTCAACTGCCAATTCATGTATCGTTGAAAGATAAAGTGTAAAGGTTTGCGAAAACAATACCGGGTATGAAAAGGAAAGGGTTACCAACGACAACTACTTTCGAAAAAGGGTGTCATTTACTCCTCGAGCTTTTCAAAATGTCAGATGTTAAGTAAAATGTGCGTCCCGACAAAAACGACGTTGTGATTGGCCGTTTAACCAAATCCAGCATCCTAGGTAAGACATTGACGTGAGCTCGTTAGATGCGCACCTATTAAAAACCTTAGAAGCCGTTGTCTATCGCAGGCTAGAACTGAAGTAGTACGCTCTGGAGGGTAACAGCAAATTCGTTTGTGTATATAAGGGCTCCCGTGAAATTCCTGCACGTGGTCAGCATGTACAGTTCACTGTGACTTACTGGCCATCGTGCCTAATCCCAAGGGTATTTGAATCTGGGATCTCTAGTCATTGAGACCAACACTGCAGCAGTGAGCCACGAGCCTCTGGTCCCATCGTTTTCGATTGTGAACAGTTACAATTAAAAGTGGCATATATCAAACTGAAGAGTAGGTACATAATGTGTGAATAAGTCATGCTTGACACGCATAGACGGGCTGCTGAACTTTGTCAACTACTGTACCCACTTCCACCTCTGAAATATAGGCCTCCAAAGCGATATAAATTGTTCACGATTAAGTTGTTTGGGAAAGAAAAATCTCTATTGTGTTAATTACGATTCTGGTTCCCCAGCACGTTGTCGGACAAATGAGATTTGACTCAAAACGAGGACTTACAAAATATGGTACAGTGGGTCAGCGTGTAGGAAGATGGAGCCAATACATTCAAATGAGGCATGTATCAACATAATTGCACGCTTATAGCAGTGTAATTATGTATTATATGCGGGTGACGATTATTTTTCTGCACGCTGATAAATCGTAGAATATTTTGTTAGCCATAGTTTTGACTGGTTTTGCAAAACTCTCATTTGTCTGAAGGCGAGCTGGGGAATCAGGCTCAAATATTCATACAATAAACATCATTTTTTCCAAAGATGTTTATCGTTAACCTCCATCTCCGTTTACTTCAAGGGAATTTTTTAATTTGCGGCAGCTACGTGCTCGGATGCTGCCACTAAATATAATTGATATTGTCACGACCGTTTCTTGAAATATGCCACCAAAATACTAAAGTCATCCAAACTTTAATCGCCCACTACGATTTTACCGTCACATAATATTAACAGTGTTGCTCCAACAGTTTAAAACGTCTCCAAAAAACTACCTCATAGAAGCATTCCACGTAAACAGCCAGGATAACCTAGTCACTTTTAAGATATTTGTATAGTATAAGCAGCACAATGTAAATTACGAAATAAGAAGTAACTTGTCATGCGCTTAAGTGCGTCAACACGACTTTGGTCTGCATCAGGGCCTTGCATCCCTCGCTGGACTGGCATAAATTATTTGACACAAGCATGAAAAGCTGAACCCTGCCACGAGGGTTTGAAAACCCTTACTAATAATCATAATAGAACTTACTCTCACAAAACACGATACGCACAGTTAACAGTATAAGACAAACATATTTTGTTCGGGCATAAAATATAAATTAAATACCTTCTTCTCCTTGCCATGGCGCGTTCTTTCGAATGATTAAAACTGTTGGATTTTATCCTGAATTTCATCTTTCACTCGAATCAACTCAGCTAGCGCTGCCTCCTTGTCCTTAATGTTTCCTAATTTAGGATCCACATCTCCGCTTAGAGTTCTAACGTAAGCTCCCCGTCTTCGGTGAAGTCCGTCAAGGCGGTCTCTAAATTCCTGCAAAGAAATACAGTCCATAAAAACTATTGCATTACATGCAACACCAAAAAGTTTTGATACGCTGCAGATACTCCATAACGTGACTTATCTTGTGATCATTTCTATTGCTTTCTCCTAAGTCATTATTTTTTTTCTTTGCTCTGTGGTAATACCTTGAAGATAGCAGGGATCGCTCCTATTGACGGGATCACAACTATATAAAATTCCACCATACAGCTACTGTCTTGAAAACAGCAGAAATGGCCGTTTCCATGCGAGTTACTGCAAACATTTGCCAAACACAACTTTGCCCCATACTTACATTCAACTGCCTCAGCGTGGCATCATCTGGCGGAGTAGCGGCCAAATCCCGAACCATAGCCTTAAAGACGGGCAGATCAAGGGCTACCAGGTCCAGGTTCTGACGAATGACCTGCATGAGCTGCGTGCTCCTGTCATCCGGAGCAGCGGGTTTCTGGGCAAATCCCTGAGCCTCGGCAGTTCCACGTATTCAGAGAGGACAATAAAAAAGGCCTTAAACCTAACCTCGCTAGACTGCGATTTATTGTTTGGCTGAAAAATAGCACCTTGCAAAAAGGCTTCTAAAGACTTTACCAATAATCATAATAAAACTTTGTCTCGGAAAAAAAGATACGCAAAGTAGAAATTTATCAAAATATAACGAGAGTAGCCAAGCGTTCCATTGCATCTCCAGTACTAAGGTCTGCATCAGGGATTTTCAACCCACTGGCAAAAAGGTTAAGGTGCAAATCGTCGATTTATTCCAAGTCCATGAGACCAGAGACAACCAACAACTAGAATCTTCTAGGACGGCATGAGATAGAATTATTGCTTTCTTTGCCATCTTATGTACGTCGGAATTTTGTAAACCCGACTTCAAACTATATATGACTGCTTCGTTAAGATTTTACTACCCACTACCACTGACACTACCGGGAAATCACCACTATTAGTACGCTCCGGGGTTTCTTCGGTTATCGATGTATTTACACACCTGATTAAAAGCCCATGAAGGACGTCCTACAGGTTTACGCATATGTTAAACGTATATTACTGACCAGTCTACGTGAAAGTAGTCGCTTTGATACTCGAAACACGGTGTTCGTACGTTCGGAAGATGACGATTTCAAACTCAGGCAAGAGAGATGCACTCCCACCGCTGAGTCAATGAAAAAGCTGGGCTATAGGTTGGATATAATTGGCCACTAGCCAGCAGAACATAAACGAAAGAACTTGGAGTTGCCCTACCTCTCCCAACTATTTTAGTAATCTGCGCTATTTTAATTGGATATGTTAGCCACTCTTATTTATTTACGAACACATCAACGGCAGCTATGAAGCTGCTCCATAGACTTCTTGAAAATACTTGTTGCTCGAACTAGTAGGCCGAAAAAGGCGCTTTGAAACAAACAACAGCTGCTCTGTCCTGCGTCATTACCCTGACCCAAAAAGCCTATAATTGTGACATCCAATGCGTTATTATACTCCGTGGCTTTGGTTTTCATGCAGAAAGTGCTGATGTTCCGATTAACTTTACACCAAGCCTCAAGCGGGATCTAAATATCCGATACATGATAGGTTGACTATAATACATCTAATTCATTAAAATACAACTATTTTAACCGGCAAAAACAAGCAGCCGCGAACATACTGACTCAAAAGGAAAACCTTTTGAATGTGCGTGGCCCCTCACGACACAAAATCACGAGGTCAGCCGATCGCTGCTCAATCCCCAGTGAGAACTCGGTCGCATTCGTTGCCTACACCAACGTCCAGCTTGGAGGCCGAACCTGTTCGTTGTTCGCGGATTGAAGTGGGGCATAGTTGGACGTTTTCACAAACATTAAGTCAGCAACTTGTTTTTAAAGTAAGGATATTAATTGATGTAAGAATAACCAATATTGGGTACGATACGCCCCCCTACACCAAGCCCTGAAAAGGGGACCATTCGTTACACTTTTACGCACACCTGGATGACATATGTAACTGGGCATATAAAAGTGCATACAAACCTTCTTTCTCCGAATTGCCTGCTGATAGTTGTCGATACACTGGAGCAACTCGTCATTGACGTTCACCAAGTTAGCAAGGTTCGTTTCGGCCTCAGCGGTGATATCGACACTTGTAATTGAATAAATAAGTGCGTGAACACTTTTCCGCAGGCCTTCGAGACGCTCATAAACGACCTAGATAAACAAAATATCAGTAATATTAGACTGCGTACAGCCTGGACAGCAAACGTTTTTCTATACTCGTCTAGTACATTTCACCGGTCGGATAGTTATCCTTAAGGAAACTGAAAAAAATATAGGAACATACCTGGAGGTCATGGATTTGCGTTGCATCAACTGCCCGAGACGTGCTTATATCTCGATGCAGTATCTGAAACAGTTGAATGGCCTCCCTTGCGTCCGAGAGTATCTTCAAAATATGGCTATTTTCTGCCGTTCTTGCTGTTGCTACGGACCTGCTTTCCTCTAACCCCCCCTCCCCCGCCCTCCGAGTCTATAAATGCCAGAAGAGATGTTTTAGTATGACAGTACGTTTAACAATATACAAAAGCTGTACAAGCAAGATTATGCATGCACAGTGCGCCAAAAATATAAAACCAACTAAAATCGCTTACGTAATCCAATCACCCTGTTTTCAACTGCCAAGAATAGTGTGTGATCGGTGATAGAAGCTAAACACGACTATTCCTTTACCCAGCATGCTAATCAATCTATAGTCAGTCTATCAGCGAACCGCACCAACTCACATACGCGGATAATTATTACGGCACAGTAGCATTGAGCAGAATTGACGATGGCTCTCGAGAGACCGCATTGCGTGTTGCAGGTCTGACATTCACAGCTAAGGCATTGACGTTAAAATCAGCTGAATTATATCCCTGAGATCGTAAACGTATTACTGTTCGTGAAGTATCAGAAACCAAGTACAAGCTTATCCGATCGTCCACTTGAAAACCATAAGAAGCTGATGACGAAGACTAGGTTATGTCCTAGAGCGCCTTTGAGCCAGATTCTGCGGCAGATTCAAGTTCATTTGGTGCAGCGTGAC